TAACAGAGCTGCCTAAGAGCTAATATAATCAAAAGCAATCAGCCGTCAGCTTACAGAGTGATGATTATACGACTCAAGTACCCGCCCGCTCCTACAGATTCCAGACGTCAGATTGATGTGCCCCCCCCCGTTAGAGATCTCTGGGTGTAAATGAGATGGGGGAGTCCTGGTGAGCAGTCCTGTACACTCCCACGCAGAGGATGAGGAGAGCGGGCGGCAGATCGGTATGTTCGGAAGGACAGTACTGATGGGAAGTTCAGCTGCTGGGGAATAAGGGGATGGAAGGTAAGTAAGGAGAGTCTGAGCCGGCTGAAGGGGTTGGCTCTCATTAGCCGGCTGAACACCGCCGTCTCCTGAAAGCTCAGCGTCTCCTCCCCATTATCATCCTCTCCAGGCAGTGTGGAAAGTAAGACACCCCCCCTCCCCCCACACACACACCCATTTCTGACTCTCCAGGATTTCCTTATTGCTGGGCAACCAGAAGCCAGCGACGGTAGCTCTGTCATCGCTACTGTATATGCCGGACTGCGCTCTGGCGTTCATTATCACGGTAAACAGCCAAACAGTGTGTACCCCTGTCTCTGTGACCGATTCGCTTTTAGGGAACATGAGGGCTAATTTAGAAGCGGCAAGGAATCCACTGGCAGGGCCTTAAAAAAAAACAGGAAGGACATGGTGTGCTTAAACACGTGCCATATTTGCCCAGCTTGTCTGCCTCTCTAGCCCGAGGCTCACTGCCTCATCAATGACAGAATGACAGGGTAGCCTGCCGTTTACCTGAGAAACAAACCTGAGGAAGAGGAGGGAGGATGTAAAATGGGGCTTTAAAAAACAAGAGCCATGTAAGCAAAGTGAAATGTCCAGCGCATTTCAGTCTGGCACGGTTTTGTGGGCCCCATGTGAGACATGCAGCCACTTCATTGGTGCTTCTGCGGATTGTGCAGCGTGAGGCGCCGTGTCGGCCGGAATCAGAGCAGAGACGGGGGAGACGTGTGATTTCAATACACTGGGCGGCCCCAAAGGAACCTGTAGCTGGACACTGGTGTTCAGTATGAGCTCAGGGGTTACACAACTTGTCCCGGTGTGTTCAGGCTGTGTTCAGTACCGAGGCACAAAGTGCTGACAGTCCCTCAGGGCATGTTGTGCTGTGTTCAGTACAGAGATTCAGTGTTCAATTCAGTTTGGATTTAATCGGGAGGTATTTCTGGCAATGCAGCTTATTCATTAAGTGTCACTCATGTCGTTTTTATTGTAACTCCTCACTGTTTGTGCTGAGCAAATAAAACTTCCTACTCAAAGTATAATGAAATAGCTGGCCGGCCTTGTGGCAAGGCGGCTCATTCTCCAGGAGCCTGAAGGGGAACATGTCCAACGACAGGATGATTTTAAGGTTCTGACGCTTCCCTTGGCCCAATCGGTCACCTTAATCCGATGGGGCGGAACCTCGTGCCTGCCACTCAGCCAATCAGACAGCCAGGCTGAAGCAGAGACTAATGTCAACATTTGGCCCAATTAATATACGGTAAGATTTTCCCTCCTCTGGTGACTTATACACCTCCATCCCGGGTCCCTCAGACCCGGCACCAATTCCATTGTATCTTGTGTCATAAGATCACCTGGACTAAAAAGTTTCTGTCTGGCAGATTTGACATAAAAAGTTTAAGCTAATTTATCAAATTCCCATTGGTGGATAGGCACACCCAGAGCAGATATGGGAATCATTCACAGCCCCTTCTTCTCCTGGTTTTTCCCACAATCCAGTGCCAAACACATGGAAGGCATCACGCCCTGACACCCTGAAAAAAACGACCAAATGAGAATTTAAACTGTTACAACCGCCAGAGAGGTTCAGGCTGCTAACGCAGCACTTTATCGCCACCTATTGGGCGCTCTGGAACTTCCCAGTCCCCTTTAATAAGAATTATGCCAAGAAGAATGTCAAAATTACCATATTATACATAATATATAACATTACACAGAATATAAAAAATATGTAACGGTCTCACAGAAAGTTATGAAATCATTGAAAAAAACAGCCCTCACTATCATTCATAGAATTAAAATATCTGCAGAAAAATACAAAAATATATGTACCCTCTGCAATAAGGAAGGCAGTATGACAGAGCAGCAGAGTTCCTGCTGTTGGAGACCAAACAATGAATTGCACCTTGCAGAAGAGGGGCCCAGGATTCCCCCAGACCGTACCTGAGCTGGGCTTTAGTCCCATGGATTGTTACAGTCATGGTCCGGCTTGAACAGGCTTTCCTGACACGTTGAGGGAACTAAGCCCAGGATGTTCTCAGAGCGAAGAGGCGGGAAGATCTTTGTACTTGTTAACTTCAAGTGTACTTTTTTAAAGCTACTTTCCTAATATAAGGAAATAAACTAAAGGTTTGTTTGTCACAGTCACAGTTCTACTCAGTTCAGTGGATAAGACCTCAGGCATTGAGAGTGGGGAGGGGCAGATTCCTGCTCATGGGAGTTTTACTTACACAAAAAATGTCCTGCCTCCTCTATTTGCTTGGACTCACCTCCTCTACAGTCTGATTGGTTAATTGTCTGAACCAATCATTTTTCCTTCTGCCCTCAGAACATTTTTGTGTAAGTAAAACTCCCATGAGTGGAATTTAACGCACAACAGCGTGTGAGGTGTGATGCCTCTGAGCCATCGTACTTAACTGAAACCATGTGCCCAGAATAGCAAGGTAAAGTTTCTGTAAGATTCTATAAGCATAGTCAGATGCTGAATAGGTCCTAACAAAGCCATTCATGTCTTCCTTAGCCTGTCCTGTCTCTCCTGTCGGAGCACATTGCTCTGTCCCGAATCTACATACTCTCACCAGTTCCTGCATGAGCTGGGTTTGGTTTACAATGGCTGACAACAACTGGCATGAACCTTGTGGTCTTCCCACTCTGCTTCTCAATGTGGCCGCACGGTCAGCCAGATGATGGGTGGAATGTGGAGGGTCTATAGAAGGAAGGAGGGAAGGCAGGCTTCCTGGAGGGTGGAAGAAGAGGCTGAGCAAATCTCAGAGGAAATGATTATGCTAGAGAAGGTGATACCTGGTGTGGAGATGGAGTTCAGGGATGATGTCATCCCAGGAAAGGGCCGTCAATGCACCCATTGCCATCGCAGAAGTGCAAGGCCATCAGTGATGGGCAGAGGTGGACAGTTCAGGTCCAGAAAGTAAAAATCCAGACCAAGATTTTGTTTCAACCAAGCAGTTGAGTATAAAGAGTCAGTCACTGGTTGGTTGAGACAAAAATCTTTCAGATTTTTACTTTCTGGACCTGAACTGTCCACGTATGGTGACGAGTATATTAACCACACTCTCCTACAAGCATGAAACCTTTTCCTTCCAGCTCAGTCATGCGTGACTATGATCCGTTTCCTGTTTCTGCTGAGCACGGCACATATGGTCCAGCGCAGGCTTCAGGCACCCAACATCTGGCTTTTCTGGAGGCAAATGGCTGACAGAGGATGCTGGAGATTGTCCAGTTAGGTTAAAACTATGCCTTAGTCTTAATACTGCCAATAATAAGCAGTGGCAAATCAAATGAAAAAATATAGGCAAATCTTTCATCCTGACTAGGCACTCTCAGACTATAAACCGACAGATAAGTCACGGACGCACTAAGCCCAGTCCGTCGCATGTTTGTCTTACTGAAAGCTGAAGGTAATGTGATATGAATACAGACAGACCTCCAGGGTGCATTGGGGCTGAGCTCTGGAAAACAGCAGCGTGCTGGTCTCACCAGCTCTGCCAAACAGGAACCAAGTGGTACCCTGTTGAAAAGGGAAGCCTCCACCTTACCTCACCATCCTTTCATTGTCCATCCATCCACCCTGCCGTTGCTCACCCAGGATAAGGTCTTGGGGGACCAGGGCCAAACAGCATACAGCTCTGGGAGACCCTGGATGGGATACCAGCCCTTATCTCCCATCTATAGTTATTTTTCATATTTTATGGTTTCTCCACTCAGCCAGAAAGTCTAAAGATAGAACACAAATGAGCCTGTATTCATTCCAAACTATACAAGCAGTTCCTGAGTTAGGAATATCAAGAACCTTTTGTCAAAATCAAGTCCAACTACCTGGTTGAATATTTTAGTAAACCACCAACAGCCTTTGTAATCTGGAAGGAAATGCAACGGAAAGGCTGGAGCTGCCTGTCTGTTAGAAGGTGGAACACCAAAATCATTTCTAGGTCATATTGTGCAAGACACGTCAACTTTTCCCTTTGGTTGGATTATCAGAAAAAAAACAAATGTAACACAGCAGCAAACAAATAAAATCGCTTCCAACCCCCTTACCAGCTTGACTTTACTCTACTTTTGGCCCAACATGCCCTTTGACCCAGAATGCAAACCCCAAACATCTGATCCCTGCCAGTCTGCTGGACATGACAGACAGCCGATTGTCCCTGTCTGAGCCCAACCATGTCACATACTCTGAGAGCTTGTGAGTATGCCGGGACTTGGGGGGGTGTTATTCTTCAGGTAAGAAGTACTGCAGTGTTGAGGTGGGCGACAAGGCAGATCAGATCCAACCCCTTCTTCAGGGACCTGTGAGCCAAGGAGAGGAGGACACTAGTTAGGTCATGGAAAGCCAAAGAAACGACTGTAGTACAGTTCAGGTCCAGAAAGTAAGAATCTAGACCTTTTTTTTCTTCAACCAACCAGTTGAACTCTAAAGAGTCACAGTCACAGAGTGGTTGGTTGGAACAAAATCTTGGTCTGGATTTTTACTTTCTGGGCTTGAACTTTCCACATCGGGTACTGCTAAATATAGCTAAGGTTCAGTAAAAAATATAAGCAGTATATTCTAATTCACTTCAAATCATTTCATTACAATTATTTTGGGGAAAACATTAAGTATTTTCATGTCTGACACTGAAAAATAATAATAAAAATATTGACCTATCAGGCACCAGCTCAAGAGTTGAATGTTTGGTGGCAGAGTAAAACAGGAGTAGCAGCATTCCTGAGTTACACTACAGCTACAAGTGGAGCAACCAGCAGGCAGCAGATCTGCAGACATGTCCTTCCTGGAGGAAGACCTGTCCTGTCCTGTGTGCTTCGACACCTTCCAGCAGCCGGTGGTGCTCCCCTGCAGCCACAGCTTCTGCAGAGACTGCCTGGCGAACAGCTGGAGGACCAGCAGCCGGCCCGAGTGCCCGAACTGCCGGAAGGCCTATCCTCTGGGCTTCACACCTCCCGCCAACCTGGTACTGAGGAACATCGCGGAGGCCTATCTGAAGAAGCAGCAGGAGGACCAGGCGTCGGTATCGCAGGGGGAGGCTGGGCCTGCCAGGACGGGGCGGACCGCGAGCGGGGCAGCGGAGAGAGACGCCAGGGCCTGCTGTAGCGTACATGGGGAGAGGCTGCTGCTCTTCTGCAAAGTGGACCGGGAAGCCCTCTGCACTGTGTGTCAGACCTCCAGAAAGCACCTTGGCCACCAGCTCTGTCCCCTGGATGAGGCCATTCAGGATCTGAAGGTCGGTGTCACACTCCGCTCAGAAGAGGCATCCGATAGTCGCTTTTTAAATTAACTGGTACTAGTTACTTCTTATCAACTAACAGCCACGTACGACTTGAATGCATAAAAAATACGATGGACTGGAATCTGTTTAACCAAGGAATGTTAACCTGCTGAACCAGTTTATGCAGTTTATGCATGATTCTTTTAATTTATCCGGGAAATATGTACCCACATCGAGTGTCAGTTTCTCATTGTTAATGTTCTTCCCTGGATCGAGAGTGGAAAATTTATGGGGGGGAGTTCTGATGGCAACTCTGGATCCATGATCTTTTCATGTTCTATACCCAGGAGGAAGCCAAGGCGAGTCTAAAACCACTGAGGGAGAAGCTGGAGTCTTTCCAAAAGGTCAAGCAGGACTGCGAGAAGGCCCTGAAGTACATTAAGGTAAGGGCTTCACGGGGACGGCCACCTGTCCCCCGAAGATAAGGAGTCTAACACCTGCCTCCCCCATTTCAAAATGGCAGACTCAGTCCAGCCAGACGGAGCTTCAGATAAAGGCGGAGTTTGAAGCACTCCGCAACTTCCTGTTGACGGAAGAGCGATGCAGGATTGCAGCCCTTAAGGATGAAACGGAGCGCAAGGGCAGAGCCATGAAGGAGAAGGTTGAGGACCTGACGGCTCAGATCGCTTTGCTCTGCAACAGCATCGCATTGGCCGAGCGCGAGGCGGAGGCCCACGACCTCACCGTGCAGGTGGGCCCGACACGTGGTTTTGAACTAGAGGCCTCAGGAGGTCAGATGTCTCACTGGAGAAACTCAATAACTGTAGATGTTGAAGAAGTTTCCTAACTACATGGGGCAGCATGCTGGTGGAGGGGTTAGTACTGTTGCCTGGGGTTCGAGTCCCTTCCCTGGCTCCATGTGGAGCTTGCATGTTCTCCCGATGTTGTCATGGGGTTACCTTCCGTTTCCCCCCACAGTCCAAAAGCATGCTGGGGTGAATTGGAGCCAAACTGTCTGTAGGGGTGCATGTGCATGTGACTGGTGTCCTGTGACGGGTTGGCACTGCATCCTGGGTGATTCCCTGCCTTACACCTGTAGCTTCCCCCCCACAACCCTGCATATCACAAGCCGGTATAGAAAAAGGATAGACGGATAGATAAGTACTTGAAAAAATTGACAGTAGATGTTTTATTTCTGTTTTGCAGGATTGCAACACTAACAGCAGAAGGTAGGCTGTGCTTCCCCATTGGTCGACCTGTTCCCTATGTATTATTATTAAACTTATTCATTATTATTATTCTGTGCACTGTTGAGCATTCCCACTGCCCTCTGCCCCCTGCAGGGCTCTCTGCACTCGTCAGAACCCACAGATGGCGTCCGGAGTGCTGATCGACATGGCCAAGCACCTGGGCTCACTGCGCTTCAGAGTCTGGGAGAAGATGCTGGAAACCGTGCAGTACAGTGAGGATGTCACCTCCGGCAGTGTCCTGTAAAGACTGTGCAGTGCCTCGCAGCTCTTTGTCTGATGCCCCGCCCCCTTCTTCTCCCCAGGCCCAATCACCTTGGACCCCAACACGGCGACCCCCTGGCTGGCCTTCTCGCCGGACCTGACGGCAGTGTGGTATGCCGGGGCGCAGCCGCAGCTACCCGACAACCCGGAACGGTGCGACCTGTGCGTGTGCGTGCTGGGTGCCGGGGGCTTCGTGGCTGGACGCCACTGCTGGGAGGTGGAGGTGGGCGACAAGCCCAAGTGGGACCTAGGGGTGCTCTGGGAGTCCGTCCAGCGGAAAGGCATACTCCAAGTGAACCCGGCCCATGGCTTCTGGGCGGTGGCCCTTCGGGATGGCGGCCAGTACAGCGCCTGCACCCAACCCTGGACACCCCTGGCCCTGCAGCAGAAGCCCCAGAGGGTCCGTGTCCTGCTGGACTACGACAAGGGCGAGGTGTCCTTCTTCAACGCCAGTGACATGTCCCACATCTACACGTTTAGGGATCGCTTCCATGACAGGATCTTCCCGTTCGTCTCGCCGTGCGTCAGCGAGAACGGACGCAACACACAGGCCCTGAAGATCTGCCCAGCAAAGGTATCCATACTGCACCAATAGAGGCCTTCACATCTCAATGGCTCAGAGGCATCAACCCAAAGGGCCAAGCACTGCCACTCTAGTTTAAACCCATAGGTCTATGCTGAAATGCATTTAAATAATATATATGGAGTATATAGTAATATAGAAATCTTAAGCTGTATACATGGAGTAGAATATGTTACTATTAGTCTGCATACCATGAGTTTAACGTAATGGTTGGTCTGTTACTTTTCTATGTGCAATAAAATCTCACAAATGCACCCTGAGCCAGCTGGTGCTTAGTGCAAGATGTCAGTGTAGCAATTCATTCTTAATTAAATGTGAAAGTGAAAATGTTAGATTTGACCTTTTCCTGAGAAATATTTGCTCATATGCAAAACCTGTCAAGCCGGTAACGTACCCAAGGTGTTTGTGATGAGGCAGAGCTATAGCGGCTGTTTACACAAAGATTAATTAGCTGAGGAATTTAGGGGGGTTATGAGATTGAGTTTTTACAAGCTTAATAAATCTGTAAGCAGGAACTGCACCCAGAAACAGATCTTCAGAAAGAGCAGAGTTAGTAATTACTTCCGAACATATGTATCCCTTGTCATTTCAAATCAAGCAGAAAAATACCATAAGTTCCAGAGTCTGGAAACCACCATCCTCCCAAAAAAGAAACATTCAAAAACTTCAGAAACACCAAATATTGTTTTATTTAGAAAAGAAATAACAAAATTGTTCAGTTTGAAGCCACAGCACTGAGGATCACAGATGTAGAGCTGAAAGCAACAGAGCTCTGTAACGCTTCTGATGGAGATATGGCCTCCAGTCCAACATAGAAGCTGTACCAGACTGACTGGTGGGGATCACGTTTGATGTTTGAGTGGTGTAACATCATACAGCAAGGGGTTGAAGGCTGGCTGCCAATCCACATCTGTGTGACAGTGACCTCAGAGGAACCTCCGAATCACCTGGTCTGCTACCCAGAAACAGCCAGCACTGTTCACTGGGGGAATGTGTCCTCCCCCCCGACCCGCAGATACAAGCAGCCTGAGACACAGACACAACTGGCCAAGCATAGTGTGACCCCATCTCTTAGAACTGCACTGGAGAGACTCAGAGCTATTTCAGCAGAGCATACCATTTTTACCCTCTGGTTCCACATAAAACACAGATTCCCCAACAGTCGCTTTCACACAAGGAGGCCCTTGGCTGGCAGGAGCTCAGATGAAACTTCATGTTACGATTTATAACTCACAACTTTCACATACTGATACTCTGGTGTCTGGACTGATTACCATCCCCGGTGCCCAAACACCCAACTGGCCAAAGGAATCATTACCGCAAAACAGAAAGAGCACCACTTCAGCACCTCTTCTTAAAATGGCACAGAAAGCAGGCCTTCCTTTATTCATCCCCCTCCCCCCCCCATGAAAGAATTAATTCCATGGGGCACCTCCTTCATTATTGTGGTCCTACATGTTTAAACGGGACTGGCTCCAAGACTGTAATTTAGGAGGCTGAAGAGTGCACACAGCTGTGATTAATCAGCCAATCATACAGCAACGTTTTATGCGGAGGCGGGGCCATGTTTAACCCTGTATGCGCCAAGATGTATTGTGTTTCTGGGTACTGAGGTTGTGGTAAAGACAAGACATGAGTTGTGCCCTTTGGGATTATTACACCTCATGCCCATGCTCCAGGGCAACCTGCTGACTCAGCTGGCTGGAAAAGTGTATCATGCTGAGTCAGGGTCAATAAACACTGTCCCCCCCCCCGCCCCGGTTGATATTTACGAGGACAGGAACAGGGTAAGGAGTACAATCTGGTCTTTGATCAAAGGGCCTTGTTGGGGCACAAGCGAGAATGAGGAAATTTATGACGGTGTTGGGTAATAAACTAGTCCACAATGTGTTTCTGTCACCACCTAAAAGAGACATAGCAGCTCAGACATGATTTGCCAACCAGGGCGATTAAGTGACCTGGGGGGGGATGCCCCTCCCTGCTCTTATTACCACTCTTATTTTTCTAACTAGAAAACCATGACTTGCCCGAAACAGTCATGCAATGCTGTACTAATTCAAATGTTCCTCCTGTGACCAGATGCGTAAAATCCTCAGGAATCGTGTTATCTTCTGTAAACAAGGACAACAGGGACACAGGTCACAGATGGGAAAGTCAATACTCTGATTCTATCATTGGCAAAATGTACTAGAAGCTTCTCTCCACTGCATTGGATTTAAGCTTGAAGAAGCAACAGAAAATATATTCTAAACTATTTTAATTGGAGCATTTAGACAATAGCTGCTTTCACAAGGCTTGTAAGAACTAATAGAAGATCGCAGAGTAGAAGAAATGATCCTGGCAAAAAATTGTGAATCACCACAAATGTATCCAGACTCCTACGACTTTTAAAGGTGTTTTTACATTTAATCACTGCGGTTAATCGCTGACAGCCTTACAATATGTGTGTGGCAATTAGAGCATTTTCAGAATACCTTGAAAAACAGCCAGCTACAATTTTACCCTCCAATGACACTTGAGCCGTTTGGACTGGGAGAAACCAGTTTCATCCAGTTTTTAAGAAAGGCTTCTTTAGGTCTGTAAAAACTCCTCACTTTATCCAACTTTTGAGTCTGTTTGGAGATTCTACCCCCAAAAAAAACAAGCAAAGGTGTAGTGTCTGCCAAACAGAGTGAGACATTGAGCAAAAACAGTTCCTGCCTGTAAGATAAGGCCACATGTTTGCCTGTGACCTCACAGCGTCAGGAAACCATTACAATTAGATCAATATTACCCTGTTATTGTTCTTTTTTTCCAATCTAAATTGCAAGACATTCACCCATCTTCTAATCACTTGGACAGGAGGATGACAGGGTGCAGGCTGGCACCAAACTCAGAATAGGATGTTTTTAAACAGCTAGTCTATTCTAAAACCTCTGTAGTCCTTACTAACCACAACCTTGATAAACTGTTTACCTTCTCGGCAAAGAGACCAATGCGGTGTTTATACATGCTACAAGCACACAGGAACACAACCGGACGGAGACAGCGGTAATTGTCCCTTTAAAATTCGATTTACACTCCCTCACTTCACTCAGCTCCTGTTATAAAGTCCACATTGTACCCCCATGACCCCCCGCCCCCCCCACCCCCATTTCCTGTGGTCATGGCATAGTCCGCCCTGTCCCCAAGGGGCGTGTTAGCCGTGTGGGTGCATCGACCTGCTCCGCCGCTGTTTGTGTGTGTCTGGGACTGAGGATTGTACTTAAAGCGGCTGGTGAGAGCCTCCGCCAGTCACAGCACGCAGCCGCTGCTCCTGAGGACGCTGCCATGAGAGTCGGACTTCTCCTGCTGCTCCTGCTGCCCCTGTGTGCAGGTATCTGTCCAAAGGGCAACCATGGGACCTCCTGGGGCTGGCTGTAGTTACTGTGATGCCACCTTTGGGAGGGCATGTGGAATATTAAGTGGGTATTAGCAACAGTAAAAGTTATGGACTGGTGGGGGTGGCAATGCAAAGTTACTAATGCAGTAATTTAACGATTCTGTTTAATTACTAATGACTGGTTAAATTTGCTGTGTCTCTACTGGGTGGTCCGGCGACCCCCTCCCACCTGTACGTAGCCACGCCCCTGCTGTAGGTTTTATGTTGTATGGGAACAGCATTCACAATTTATACGTGTCCGAAACTCTGATATACATTGTGACTGTGTGAATCTGTACAGAGCTTAAACAGCAATTTGGGTGCGGATGTTTGTGTGTGGTTGTGGGATGGCAGGAAGTAAGACACGATGAACATTTCTGTGCCACAGCCCAGTTCAAGATCAAGTGCATTGGCGAGGACTTCCTGATGCTGAGGAATCAGCTCCTCTCATGCTCCAGCAAAGTCCCCCAGGCCTGTTACACGCGAGGTGAGTCCCTCCTGACACCGGCTCCATGGTGAGAGTCACATCAACCACGCATGTGAAGTTTAAAGACACAGCCGTGGTTGTTTATGGAGAAGCCCCGAAGATGACAGACTCTGTTACAGAATGCTTTGTCATTTATGTGATGATGAACAGCTGATCACAGGACTAGGAGGTTTGATTAATTACAGTGAACAAGTTATTTTAATGGGATGGGGATTGTATACAAACCTGATATCCCAGTACTGGTCCTAGCTAATGTGGTGCCCTATGTTAGCATCACCGCTATGTGGCTAGTTGGTGCCCCATCAGAAACTGGTACTGTAGTACACTACAGGAATGACTGGTCCTGTGATATAGACCTTTGGGATGCTTTTAATTTGTCTACTTGAGTGTCTAGGCTCATCCACCAGCTAGCTAACCATGTCTCCCTGTTGCAGTCACCGGTGAAAAGGGATGCACTACGCTGAATTTCTGCAAGAGCGATGGCTGGACATGCTGCCATACAAACCGCTGTAATGCCTAATTCTGGCCACAGGGTGGCACCAATGCGCACCCCTTCCACAACTTGCTGTGATCTCTACAGCAACTCACCCAGCACATTTTCTCTCTCTCCTTCCTCTCCCAAACCCCTATTACAGTTGGTTTAAGACTGGTCACAGGCCAGTACACATGTAGATACGTGCAGGAAATAAAACCTTTTGAACATCCCTGACTACATTCAGCTGTGTCCTGTATAAATGTTAAAAATTCCCCACCTGGTCTCACTGCCAGGTCAGCAGCGAGCTGCAGGAATATCAGAGTGTTGCCTTAATGAGGGCTGCGTGTCGAAAACCAAACGTGTCGGGCTGCACCGTGTGCCCCAGTGACACGCTCTAACAGAACCTACTGATTCACGTGGGCCAGGATAGTCTGACGTGCCTAACTCTGGGTTGGCATTGATAAACAACCTCCATCCTACCCGACCCATGCCTGTCTGCTGATTACAGGATGTTGTTTGTCAGAAGAAGAGCAGGGCAAAGGGCTCGGTCCTGTCTGGGATGCCTGGGACTGCCTGGGGCACAGGTACACCATCCCAACCAACAATTACAATTGCATACAGACAATTTCATGTACACATAACACTCAAAATGTACATATAAAAGCTAAATGAACATGCTGACTAATATTCATTCAGAAAACCCTGTATAATGATAGCCAGATGATGCTATAATTGTAATGTACTATAACAGAAACTTAGAAGGTATAACTTCATGGACACTGTGACAAACAGAAGCGTAGAACATGGTTACTTTTCAAATGTTTATTTCCATTTTTCTCAAATCTTCACTACTTTTCTGCCCTTTGACAGGAATGCATGAGAAACAGATTGGCTCAAACGTCTTCACGTAAAACGAGTACCCCCCCTAACCCACCCCCCCCTAGCATACAGGTCTGCCGTCGCCAGCGCTCGCGTTACTGCAGCTTCTATATTAGCATGTCGTCCCAGAGCTCAGCAGAGGGGGTGCAGCCTGGCCGCTGACCCAGGGCAGTCCGGGGTTGGGGGGGGGCTTGGGGGTGGGGATGCTGAGTCTCCAGGGCAGTCCAGGGTCGGGGGGGGGGGTGTGGTGTGGATGGTTGCCAGTCCTGAGGCGAGACGTCAACAAGGCGTGTCGGACTTGCCGAGCAGCGTTGCGGTCAGACTGGCGGCTTACTGAGTGGGCGCCATGGCTATAGCTCTGGTGATGGGTGCAATATTTCAGCAGCCGTCTCTAGTTTCTGTCTGAAGATGAAGCTTTGATGTTTACAGGGGGAGGGGGGGGGGGTTCTGGAATTCTCAGGGACTGACCCAAACAAGGCCATTTCACCTCAACGGCAGTCAAACTCCAAAACCAGGGTCAAAGATCACTTATAGCCTCTGCTGGCCGAACACCCTGAATAACCTGTGGGTTGGGGGGGGGGGGGTTGCAATATGACCTGACAGGCTGACACAGACTCCTCTCCCTATACTGTGTGAGATCACTGCTTCTGCAGGTTCAGGCTTGGAGTGTGAGCCTCTCAGTGCGTAGCTGAGCCTCGTCTTCCACAAAAGTTCTGTGGGTGGGGCCACTTTCAGATGAGTGAATACCAGATATATACACACAGGCATACTATTATATACACAAATCAGTGACACCAGAATGTCTCCCCTTGGGAAGGGGGGGGGTCGGTAATGAGGAGCACATGGGGGGGGTTACAGCACTTACTGAAGTGACTGAGGTGATTTGGGAGGTGTCTTTATATGTAGTCAAAGCCTGCGAACACGAGATAAACAGCTGCCCTCCAACCAAAGCCCACCCCAGCTCCACCCCCAACCTGAAGGACAGCGTGGACAGACCAGAAGGCCAATAAAAAGCCCTCATTTGAAGGCAACTCTGCGTGCAGCAAAATGAAAGATTTCCTCTAACTCCGGTCGGAAGCAAGACTTTTTAAGGCAGTGTTTGCGGACATGAAGAGATTACTAGGGTGATGTTGCAGTCCCACGCTGCACCCTCCATCACACTGACCCCCACATCCGATAGCCTTGCTGTGACCTTATATACCTACAAAATCCTTCCAAATATCTCACCGTACAAGGAAAAGAGAAACACCTGTACATGTATGGAAAATAAGTCAAAATAGCCCTTCTTTTTACCCATTAAAACGAAGCAAATGCCTTAGCCAGCTACTATTCCATTCAATACCATTTCAAAGTTCTTTGCAAGACCAGCCAATCATGTGCATCTCTGATGACTAGTCTAGGCCAATCAGGATGCTGCTTTGACCACGAGGACTACACAGCAGACACAGAGCAGAGACACTGCTTCTGGCTATAGCCCAAAGAAGCCCTTTTCTTTACAGACGGTGTGAGACTGAACACCGGGAGGGGCTGGGAGGGCATCTGGGCCAGTTCCTCTGTTCCTGATGGCTGCGTTCCCAGCAGGATTCATCCTGAGTTTGAGTAGAGGAGAGCGAAGGCTCGGATCACCCTTCCGGAATGACACAGGCACGCAAGAGACAGCTGGCGAGCTTAAGACTCCGTGGCGACCCTCAGAGTGAAAGGGGGACATTTCATCCTGGAGGAAAGAGTCTGTAATCAACCCTAAAAAACCTTATAAAATAATGATGATGACCATTTTAGAAGAAGAGTCCAAAGAAAACATGCAGTGAAGATATTCAGCGTCTTATACCAAATGCTGATTGGCTGGCAAAGTCCCAGTTTAAAAGACTTTTCTATCATCACCGTTTGCCGGGGGGAAGGATTGAAGGACAAGAAATTATGTGTCTACGGTAACCCAGTTTAAACTGGTTTTGCACTTGGGCTCATTTCAAAATGTGGTACAAATCAGAATCAGGCAGGGGGGATTTATTGACCACTGCGATGCAGTGTGATGACGGACGGCTGGGGCCAGTGGCCAAGAGACCTCAGTAATTCATTGTATCGAAAACACCTCAGAGTACTTAAAAAAAAAAAAAAAAAACATTATCTAGTCAGCAGTGGCGATTCTGCATTCACGTGTGTGGCTGTGTGACGTCCCACAGTCCATGGGAAGTCCATCAACGCCCAGTCTGCCCATTGGCACGCCTGGCACTGGGACTCAACCGGGGGTCAGCCAAGAGGTGTGGGGGGTGTCCAGGCTAACGGTGGAGAGAAGCTTTGGGCCTGTAAGCTCCAGTTAAGGCGTCTATGGCCAGTTAAGTCCATGGCGGCTTGCTGTTTAGAATGAACGAAGACATGGTGTCCCATGAATTTTTTGCTGCAACATAACTTTAGTACCGCAGTGGGTCACAGTCTAATCAGACGCTGCTTTCCAGGGCAGGTCCGCCCCCCTCACAAACACCCGCCCCCGTAAAATGAACCAAAAACAATGAAAAAAATTGAAACTCAAAGCCAGCTTCTGCGTGACTTTAAAACTGTGTTTGCCCCCCACCCCTGCTGAGACACACACACTGCCCCACGTGGTGTGTCCCTGTGTGTATGGTGTGTGGTGTGTGTCTGCTAGTGTCGGCGTGTTAGTGTCTGTCTGCGTCAGTGTGCTTGTGACTGTGTTAGTGTCCGCATGTCTGTCTGTCTGTCTGGCACCCACCCCCCCCCCCCCCTTTCACTATTTGAGTGAAATAGTACACGACACAATACAATTATTTTCTTTCTTTTTCTACACCATGCCCCTTATTTTCCAACCAATGACTTCAAACAAAAGAAACAAAAAATACAGAAAGATTTTAAAAAGTAGCATGAGAAACCAAAATGGCCACCATTCCTCCCAGAAGCCAAAATGGCCACCATTCCTCCTAGAAGCCAAAATGGCCACCATTCCTCCTAGAAGCCAAAATGGCTTAGTCTCAGAGACTGGAGGAGGAGGAGGAGGAGGAGCCTGGGACAGAGCGGGGAGCAAATGCCGGACCGGCTTACATCCCTACGAAGGGATGGATGGCGCATACTCGTCACTGGGTGTGGCTGCGTCATCACTGGGCTCCAGGCTGTCCTTGGGGGTCAGCGGGCTGTCGGACGAGGGTGGTGTGGCGTCCGACGGGGGCGGTGTGTCGGGGGAGCCAGGCCGCTGTCCGTTGGCAGTGGCCTCAGTGGGTTCAGAAGGAGGCGATGCAGTGTCGGCCGGTGGAATGGACTCAGTGGGCGTGGGCGTCTGGATCGGCGGCGAGGCCACAGCCCTGGGGGTGGAGTTGAGGTGTAGCCCCTCCCCCAGGGGCGGGTTCTCACTCGGGACCAGGGCAGGCGTCTTCTCCACGAGGCGCCACTGGACGATGCTGGTGTCTTTGCCCCCCGTGGACACCAGGTGACTGTCTTTGTGGAGGAAGCTGACGTTGGTCACATGACTGCTGTGGGCGCTGTACTTCTGGCTCGGGGCCTGTGGGATTCACAGGGCAGTTAACGTAACTGCTGCCTAAAAAAGCCCCACCCCTTCCCCAACCCAGATGGGTGACTCACTTTGGGCCGGGAGCAGGGGTACTGGAAGAGGTGTACTTTGCAGAAGTCATCCGCCAACGCGATCACCTTCCTGTTGTGAGATCGGACCAGGGCGTTGATGTCTGTCCCGTCCGAGCCCTCGGGCCACACCCCTACGGGGAAGAGGACACGGGAAGATGTGCGGGTCAAACCTGGGCCGGTGTGAGAGCTTTAGGACGGGCAGGCAGCATTGTGCCCCATGATGTACCTAAGATGACCAGACCTCTCCTACCCCAACACAGGTAAATATTTACACTGATCTCATAAATAAATATTTTATACCCAGTTATGTATAGCCTAATCACATGGCTTGAAACTTTCAAGTTTTCCATCAGTAATCATACCCTCCCCCCCACCCACATGACCACACAAAGACCTCAATTCCCGTAATGCCTCCAAATTTTCCACCACCCGCTGACAACACAGCTCGACCCAGAATCCACCACCAGGGGGCGACGAGAGACAATGGTCCGGCCCCGATTATTGCCAGGGTAATCTCAAGCCTAGAAAAACCTGGTTTGGGTTTCAGTCTTTTCGCGAAGGGGGTGCGGAATCTGCACGCTGGAAGTTAACTGAATTTTCATCCCCCCCCCAAAAAAAAAAGTCTCATAAAACAAAAATGCAAACGATGGGGTGATGTGCAGGACTTGGGCTCGGCCTTAATCAGGTGACAGACGCCGTATCGCTTTCAGAGTGCTGCTGACACGGTGGGGGCCGCTGAAGAGGGACCACCCTGAGATCCAGTCCCAATTGGAGGGGAAAAACCATTATCGCCTCCATCTTATTTCAACTATACTTGTGTGAGTTGCTGTTGTTTTGATTGTATTTTTAAGTCGGGAGATACTGCTCTCGCCAGGAATGAAAATGTTGTTTTGGAACAGACTTGGAGGACAGAGAGAGGGAGGGGCACATAAAGCAAGAAGTGGGGGGGGGGGCGGCTGTTCCAGGCAGTGTTTTCTTTAGGGTGATGGTACCAACAGAGCCCAACCACAGACTGAAACAGACCTAAATACCAGGATGAGAGTGAGTCATCACCCCCGGAAGTGAGTGGATGACTGAGCACCACACGGAGAGCGGGCACAGCCATTGGGGGCTGGAGTCGTTCCCGGGGTGCAAGCGCCCATCTCGTACACTTTTTTTACGCTGCCAGTGTGTGACTTGTACACTCTGATGCTAGGTGTGAGTCACAGGGCGTTTTTCCACCGCACCAGGTACCGTACTTTTGGTACTTTCTGTACTTCCATAAAGTGCCGAAAGTATGGTACTTCTTTCGTGACGGTTTTCCACTGCCGTAAAAAATGGTACCGGCGCCAAATGACATCATTAGTGACCGCCCCTGACTGACATCATCACAACGCGCAGCTTAAATCATAATTTAAAAAAAAAAAAAAAAACAGCCCAAAATTAAAACTAACAGCGTAGGCTGGAAAATGCGGTTTATTGTTATGTCATGTTATGTCAGCTTCTATCACAGTATAAGATTCAGTAATATCCAAATTGCATGAATGCTGCCATTGTTTACGTTTACGTAGGTACACTTACTTTGGCTAAGCCGATCAAAGCAGTAAGAATTAGCTTACTGCTAATTCAGTCTTTTGAAAGCAAACATTATCTAATTATGTTTTTTGATTTTCAAGCGGCATTGTTCGGTGTTTCGCGTGTGCCCCATTTCTTCTTGGTATTACGGTGTTCTGGGCAATTCAGTTTCCCTATGTTTCTCCTGTCTATCAGGAAATAATGTTTCCCCTAATATTAAAGCAGAGGTATGTGTAATGTCTGAAAATCACTCAGGTACATTATTACATGTGAATACAGTATTGTTATTAGTACCTAGGCCCAGAGTTGCTGTATACCTGTTTTTGGCAAAGATGTATGTGTGATGTCTGAAAATCACTCAGGTACATTATTACATGTAAATACAGTAGATCGCCACGCATAATATAGTGTTATAAGCAATACTATACCGTTTTCATCAAGAAATATCTCTATCCAGCGAATTAAATAATTTAATTTATTATCTGTAAAAACAAAAAACATCAAAAAGGCATGTGATGTTTTAAAATATATGGCTTATTTACCTCAAGAGCTTCGTAAAAAGACATGAAAACAACAGCAAAACCGTGTACAAATCAGCGCGCGACAGGGGAAACATAGGGAATATGAATTGCCCGGAACGGCAAAAACTTTTTTATTTTGAGTCGTGCCATCCAAATACCGCTGGATCTGTTTATCCGACCATGTGGCGATTAAAGCCTGTGTTTCCTCGTTTGTCCATCCTTCCATTTTACTTTTTAAATATTTTTGTTTCTACTGCTTTTTATTTCGTTTCTCGCTGTTTGCTGTGTGTATTTTGTGTTTCAGCGGCAGGCTATTTGCATAACCAATCGACAGCAAATAAGTTTGTAAGTCCCACCCCAAAGTACTGAAGTACCAAAGGAGTACCCCAGCTGGTTTGGCACTTTCGGTACTCGAACTTTCGGTACTGGTACTCGACCAGAAGTCAATGGAAAAGCGAAAGTACCGAAAGGACCGTACTTTGTGCGGTGGAAAAGCGCCCACAGTGTGCTGATGTCCCTCCTGACCATGTGCTGCAGGTATGCATCAGGTCGTGGGTCACCCACGTCTCAAAAACAGGGTCTGGAGATAAAGGCAACAGAGACCCCTCCCAAAAAACCTCCCCCTTCCACACAAAGCACCTGGACGGCACTCACCGAAGACGTGGAAGCCCAGCACACAGGTGTAGGTAGCCCAGTCGATGTCCTTGCACTCGGAGCGGTTTCGGATCAGCTTGCAGCCGTTTGGAATGTCCCCTGGAGAGAGACGGGACGCGGGTTGAAATTTTTGGATAAACTGAGGCACAGAGAAATGGCATCTGCCAGAAATTAAAGTCTTAAAACGGCATGAAAACATAGTATGGGGAAGCTCCAGATGTTCGATAACTCGAAACAACAGCTGTATGGAGCCCTGACAGCTGCCTGCATAGGCGGGTGGGCGCTTGGCGAGCGCGGGATACTCACAGTAAAGGATTTCGTAGTCGCCTGAGTTGGACATGATGAACTTGTTGTCGGGGGACCAGTCAAGATGTGTAATGTAGCTGGAATGTCCCTATTGAGAGGGGGTGGGGGGGGAGAGGAGTGGTGTGAAGGTTCACGGAACGGCAACATGCCGACACGCTACGCGGCATGACACGGGAGACCCAGGGGAGGAGCACAACAGAACAGGAGGGAGGTACCAGCGAGGCCCCCCCCTTACCCCCCCAACCATCCCCCACCAGGAGGCCACCCCCAGCCGGACTGGGAAGGGAACCTCGGTTTGTCTCTCTTGGCACTTTGTTTGATTTCATTGGAGTCCAGAGGCTTCATTCCAGCGACACACACACACACACACGCGCACACACACACACACGCACGCACACGCGCACACGTTTGTATTCATACCTACGTAGGAACCGTCCATTCATTTCTAGGGGAAAAAGCTTAATCCCAACACTGACATCCTAATCCCCTACCCAGCCTTAACCTTACCCATAACTAATCAAACAAAATACAAGACTTTTGGCATTTTCAGTCACAGAAAAAACGGTCCCCGCAACGTCAAAATAACAGGTTATCATCACATTCTGGGGTTGTTTGGTCCCCACAATGTAATACATATAAATAATCCACACAGACAGAGACAAGCTGAGAAATGTCTGTTACATTATGCCAGGCCTGATCCAGACAGCCCACATCTGCCATGCTTAAATGTTAGTTTTATTATTTTAAGAGTGTAAAACATCAACAAACACTGACACACACACACACACACACACACTCAGTACAGTCCCCCCACTCCCCCCAGTGCTGACAGGCTTGTACAGCTGTGCCTTTGATCTAACGTGGGGCTCTGCTCAGAGCCCATCCGGGCCCCTCAGGGCCAAGCCAGAACGGGGCCGCCAAACCCAATAAAACCTGCGGCCGAGGTTCCCACAGCATTCCCCATTAATTACATCTCCCTTCTCTCCAAACAGCCATACCTTTTCGGGGTCGACCCCAAAGAGCACGGGACGACCCGCAGTGACCCCCGAGCCCCACAACTTTTTCGTCACCCGCACCTGACAGACCTGCCCCATGGGGCGGGGGGTGAAGAGAGTCTCCTGTGCCAAGATCAGTGGAAGGAGGAAAGCAGGAGGAGAGGAACTACAGACTGAAGAGCGGCTGATCTCACACCCTGTCACACAGCGCTACACCGCCAGCTAAGACCAGGCCTCCGCCAGCCGCCCAGCACAGTCACTGTTACTCCGGTTACTCAAGGTTACTCCGGCTTCAGTGGAACAAGAGCATTAAACCCAAAGCTCCAGAGGACAAATAAATATTACCCTGGGTTTGATCAACTGGCCACAGAATGGATCTCTGCCGAGTAGGAGAGACGCTCCTTGTGGCCCTGGATTTGGCACCGGATAGAACGGCCCGTCCTCACTGCGGATCCTCAAGGAGCCGCACACATCACTCCGCCCTCCAGCTCCTCCGAGCGTCGCTCACACGGTGTATGATCCACCGGGACAACAAGCTAAGGGGCCGTGATGGGATCCGGCCAGCCGGCTTGGTGGCCCGAGTCCCCCGAACCACGACGGCTGTAGGAATGGGCACGAGCGGGACTCACAGTGCACTTCCCGTATCGGCTGTACTTCCGGCCTTTCTCTGAAACTGTGTAGAGGTAAATGAAGTTGTCGTGTGATCCCACTGCCAGCAGGGTGCCATCTGAGGACGAGAGGAGAGGGTCCTCAGTCACGACATGCCATGGCCTTCATAAGACGAGAGGGACGGGACCTCGGCTCCACCCACCTACAGAGTAGCGCATGACTGACAGCTGCTCGTTTCCATCTGTATGGATGGCGATCAGGTCCCTCGTCTCGGCATCGAGAGCGTACCACCTACATGCGACATAGGGGTGGCGTTTGGGTCAGACCAAAGGCTGTTCTAGAGCAATAAATTATCTATTTATTTATTTATTTTTAATTGAACGCAGCCAGGATGAGGACATACTTTCCTGAGTGGGTCCCGATAGCCACAACAGCACCGCTAGGGTGGAAGTCCGCACAGTGTCCGTGCTCCTGGAAATGGGACAGAGAAAAGGGAACCAGGGAGAGATGAATTGAGAAACAGAGCAGCAGACCATTACAGTGTCGATGTGATGCGTAGAGACTCTGAGCAGAGGTTGGGGAGACTCTTACATCAAGAAGCCTGGTCCACTCCAGGGAGTGGTCTACAGCGTTCCAGAGACACATCTGTCTGTCCTGAGCACAGGTGAGGAAGAGGTCCTTGAAGGGGTGAGTGGCCAAGCCCCAGAGCTCGTCCGTGTGACCCTGGAGAACGCGACCGACAAAAAGGGGAATCTCAATCCGGAACCACACAGGAGGGGTCAAGAGAAACTGACAGAATCATTACATGGATTCTCTCCTCCCAAGAGAATAACGAATGTAGAAAAGTGGCCTTCTGAAGACTCAATTTCTAAAGAAACCGGACACCTCAAATCCACAAACTGAGGCAATGTATCTCCCAGAGTCACAACAATAATGGACTGCACAGCATGTTAGAACTTGGGAAGAATAAACGAATGATGCTACACCAACTCAGAGAGGAGGCATCTATCAACGAGAGGGGACCCCCAGGACTGAGACATGCCTGAGAACAGGGCAATACCGGGGGCCCGGGTTCTGTTGGACACCCCTGAAAGGCGGGATAAATTCCACCGTTTATTTAAGCTGGAAGCAAATGGGAAAAACAACCAGCGTTCCAGACCAACTCGTAGCGGATCAGTGTTTGGAAACATTAGGCCTCGTCTGGAGCCCTTCAAGGCCAAAATGGGTCGGAACCGTAGCAGATCAGATGGCAGAGGCATGGGCCGCCCAGGAATCGCTTCCATCGGTTTAGACTGCCTTGGACTGCTGCTTGGTTCAGCTCGGAACCATGAACTCTTTTGACCCATCTCACGGGAGCCTCGGGCCCGGTTTACTAAAACCCGGTCGGCACACGCAGCTTCCTGTAACTCACCTGGACCTCCACCTGGAAGCCATCATTAAACGTGCCTCGCAGGATCATGTTCTTCGACGTTCCTATCAAAAACTGGTTACCCTTGCCTTCAGCCACTGCCCGAATAGACCCATACTGGTCAGGGACCTGCATGAGAGACAGGAGATGGGGTCTGAGCACCACGGGTCAGACTGAGTCCACTGCGGGGCTTCCTGAGGTGGACGGACTTCCCACCTCTATCTCTCGCTCTACATTCAGGTCATGGTCCCACAGAATAATCTTGTGGTCCTTGCCACCTCCAGTCAACAGCGTCCCGTTCCTCATCTGGCACAGCGTGAAGACACTGCCGTCATGGGCCTTGATCTGCCGGCTGATCTGGTAGACACCTGGGGCTGGGACTGTGGGAGAGCAAAAGAACGGGTTCAGAGAGGAGGCGGGAACAGGGGTGGAGAGAGGGTGTGGTCTTCGCATGGGGGCGGATACAATAAGGAGGGGGCGGGGTCAGATTGTATCAATGTTTTAGACAATAGAGGAATTAGGTGGGCGGAGTCATGTGTTGAGGAGAAGGATGGGGATTTCATCCAACTCACTATCCACCACAGGATTAAGAGAGCGAGTTAGGCAAACACGAGTGATACTGGAGAGGGAACAGTGGTCTACATTTCTGGGAAGGGAATACCACAAATACTTCAGAGGCCTTCATGTGGGATGCTGCAGAAATTAAACGCAGACGAGAGGCAGAGCTGTTTTCAGAGGGCTGACGTGTGGGCTTTTTTGTTGGGGGAGTTTAGGGGTGAGTGTGCATTTATGAACAGGGCATGTGCATCTGAGTGCTCCGCTCAGCATGCGTGCGCGTGTGAGCGTGCTTCCTGTGTCTGAATTCGCGCATCACTCCTGATTATCACTCCCAGTGTAAAAACACCCTGGGGTGTGCTGGTAATGCACAAGCCCTGAAGGGGGGAAGGCCAGGGACTACAGTGGGAGGGGGGCAAATTGGGAGAGAAAGATACTTCAACACAGACCTAGATGAGCAAACACAGGTAGTCAAGCTGCTGGGACAGCCCACATTTACTTCCTGTTTGCATTTATTGGCCCCACAAGAGGTCAGGTGACCTGAGGTGAGAGATGAGGTCATTGTCATGCGGGTTACAAATCAGACAGTGGGGTTCAAATGTAAACCAGCATTGTCATTAAATGTGAAAGCCTTCTCCACCACTCCGGCAGGCACTGATCTACGTGGGCCGAGGCTTGGGCCGCACTCAACGGCGAGCGCAGGGCATGGAGGTGGGGCGGGAGCCAGGGCATGCCAGGGAGGGGCCGATCCGGCCCGGGAAGTCAGCGAATAATAATTTAGGCTGCAGCACTGACAGCCCGCGCTCACGCTCTCCAAATCCAGTTCTTCTGCATGCCAAAAAAACAATTATCATGTGCAAACGAGCTTGAGTAAACGACTCTTCCTTGAGGCATGAGCCACAGATTTGCACTGACATCACGGCACGCCCTTTGTCCCTGCATGTGGAGGCCGTTTCTGCTGGGGGGGGGCATACCTTTGGGCCCCTTGCTCTGAACCGGCTCCGCCACGCTGCGGGTCCAAACCAGCATGATTCCGCCCGAGTCGCCAGTGAGGATATCGCCGTTGCTGAGGAAGGCCAGGCACTGCACGAACTTGGGCTTCTCGTATTTCTGGGGAGAGACAGGGGGGCGGGGCTTAGGAGAGGAGCACAGCGTGTGGCTGGGGGTGTATGTGAGACGGCGGCTGCAATTCCGAGTGTAACAGGGTGGGGGGCGCCGGGCTCTTACCCCAAAGATGCCCTGCTTGCGTGCCAGCGAGCTGCCGCTCCAGGTCCAGAAGAAGATGTGGGACTTGCCGCAGGTGACGATGGTGTTGGCATCAGTAGGGTGGAACTCCACGGCCAGAACCACCTCGTTTGTGGTCTGTGGGGGGTGGGGGGGTTAGACGACAGACGGCGCTGGGGCAGGAGACCGAATGGGGCTGGGGGGGGGGGGGGCGGCAGCTAACGGCCTCACCTTAATTTCAGCGATCCTGGACTTCTTCTGCCAGTCCCAGACGGTCAGCATGTGCTCGTTGGAGTCATCGATCACACCTAGGTGGACGCCGGAATCCTGAGGAGCAAGAGGACATCAGACGGCAGGTGATTACATGAGATAGACCTGCGTGTGTGTGTGTGTGTGTGTTTGTGTGTGTGTGTGTGTGGATTATATTACATTGTGTGGACCAAATGTAACCCACAATGGGATAACAACCAGTTTTTTTGACGTTGTGGGGACCATTTTTCAGGTTCCCACAAAGATCTGTGACTGCAATCAAAAAACGAAAAAGTCTCGTATATAGTTTGGTTCATTATGGTTAAGGTTAGGGCTGGGAAGGGGTTAAGGTCGTCATGTTGGGATTAGGTATTTCCCCATAGAAATGAATGGAAAGTCCCCACAAACATATAATTACAAACGTGCGTGTGTGTGTGTGTGTGTGTGTGTGTGTGTGTGTGTGTGTGGGGGGGGGGGAGGTCAAATGTGCCCACAATGTGATAAAAACCTGTTATTTTGGCGTCATGGGAACCACCCCACAAGGAGAAACTCAGTTTTATAAAAATCTGTGACTGCAATCAAAGCACTAAAAATGCCAAATGTCTTGTATTTTATTTAGTTATTTATGGTTAAGGTTAGGGCTGAGTAGGGATTAAGGTTGTCATTGTAGGGATTAGGGTTTTTCTCCCATAGAAATGAATGGACGGTCCCCACAAAGATATCTGTGTCTGTATTTGTGTGTCTATGGCTGCGTGTCTGACTAAGGCTGTTGTTTTTGAAATGTGCTGAGAATGACAGAGAAGTCAGAGAGGCAGAAGGAACGGAAGAAGAGATGAGAAACCGGGTGAGAGGAGACGGGGGCTGATTAGAGACAGGGTGAGGAATGCGCTGTCCCGGCCTGGCCTCGGAACCAGATGCCCGGTCACAGCTGGGGGTCTGGCGAACTGTTTAAGGGCAGCGGATTCTGTGCTGGCCCTGCCAAGGAGCTGATATTTTCATCTTCAAGACCTTCGCTGTAGACTCCCCCCTCCCCCGACCCCCCTTTGCAGAACCTTGGACTGTTAACTGTTAAAGTGAACCCTGCTGCTGATTAGCCTGTCTGCTATCCAACGGGGTCTACCGGACACCCCCCATGGTAAAAGCAGGAACGGGATGAGTAATGGAGCGAGGACTCACGGCTTTGGAGAAGGAGAGCGAGCCAACCCCTCTCTCGAAGGTTCCCAGGCCGATGACCTGCAGGGTGCTCAGCGAGACCGAGTCCCACACCCTGACGTGGGGCTGCAGGGGCTGCAGAGCGAGACACCGGGGGTCAGGGGGGGGAAACAAACATCACCGTCTTGGAATGAGGACACGCAAACACAGGTGGCTGCAGACAGCCCCATCCATTCATGACAGCGTGATTGTCCCGGCCTGGCATTTGTCCGCATTTCAGCAAATACTTGAGGGGAACCGTTGAGGCGGGTGATGAACCTGGACGGCATTATTGCTTAATAAAACGTCATCGTTTTCTCTCCTACACCGCATGGATGCAGGAACGACACACAGGCCTGCTGTACACCCACCTAGGGGCTCATCTCGAGGCAGGGACTGGCGGTCTGCACCACGAGAAAGAGAGAGAGAGAGAGAGAGAGAGAGAGAGAAGGGGGCGAGGACTCACCCGCCCATCCTTATCCACGCCGGCAATCTGTCCCGTGGCGATGCGGATCTTGTCGGGGTGAACGGCAAGGCTAGGAAGACAGTCTGCTATCAGCTTTGCTACTTTTGCCTATTTTTACAAACCCCTGGACAGAATTTGCATTCCACTTCCATGAAACTGACCTTCAAAGCCAAGGTCTACACCAGACAGAGGCTCCCCCCCCCCCAAATCAGTCAACTGCCCCGCCCCAAACATGCCCAGGCTCCCCCTCCATGACTCACCATTTGACACAGTCTGTGTGGCCCAGGTAGTGGCGCTGCGTTCTCTCCTCGTAGTTGAAGAGCACCACCACGGAGGCGATGAAGTAGACAATCTCGCCAGTGGGCAGCAGATACACGTTGGCCCTGCAGTCGCGACCCCGGTACCCATAGCTGGCCAGCAGGGTCAAGGGGCAGAACGTGGGGAGAAAAGGAGAAATGGGGGGGTGGGGTGGGCAGGGGGAGCCAGGAAATATGGCAGGGTGGATAAGGCAGCCTTTGATCTGGGTCCCCCAACACAGACACAGTTTGTGCCAAAGTCAGAGGAACCTTCTTCACTTATCTCCCCCTACAGGCTGAGAGTGTGTGTTTCCCATCCTGCCCTGGAGCCGCCAGCATCCCGCCTGCTTTGCAAAGCGCCAAAATAATCTCAGGGGGCTGAGGGAACGGCGGAGAACAGGAAGGGAGGTCCTGACCCAGATACTCCACCTCGAGCCAAGGAGGAGACGGGTTGGCGGGACAGAGGGAGAAAGGGCAGAGGGTTAGGACAGCAGAGCGGGAAGACATGGAGTCTCCCAGCCGGGAAGGATACACCCACTCCAGCTTCAACCTCTCTGGGGGCAGCTCCGTCTTCACGTCATCATAGTTCTCCACATCCGACGGGATGAACATGGTGATGGGACGGCCCCGCATGAACATTTTGATGTATTCTCCCTCTGCGCAGGGGATGGGGGGGGGGGGTCGTTAACATGGTGGACAGTGTTTAGCTAAACCATCCCAGCGTGAAGCATAAGTTATCAGAAAAGCAGAGGTTAGAGCAAGAGTCCCAAGGAAGAATTGGGAGCGATTAGTGGGCGGGGCTACCATGCTGCCAATTACTGCCCCTTTTAACCAGTGCAAAGGAGCATAAACCAGCCAGTGTACGATAGCCCCGCCCACCATGCGCTTCGACACTTCAAAGCATGAGCTGTCCCTGCCTAACAGCAGGCGGGTTTATTTGGGGGAAGACCTAAGGTCAACTGTATAATTAATTCAAAAGACAATAAGCACAGCAGGGTCAGCTCAAGTGACTTTAGCAATGTTAGTGACGTCAGTGGCGTTTTGTGCCCGTGAAGAAAAGCTGGCACCTGGACAGACGCCTATCTGCCTATGTTGGTCCTTCCCAAGTGGAAAAAAAGGATACAAGAGAAGCACATTTAAAATCTGATTCGAGCCTGAGATAGAGGCCATTCTAACACCGTAATTTAGCAGACATATCATTGGGGGGCTGCTTCCTAAGAGAAAGTCGGAAGGCGCACTGGGATCAGCTACAGAAATTATTCCAGATCTGTACGGAACGTGGTTCAGCTTTGTCTGGGAAGGGGAGCATGATACAGAAGGACCAGCAGAGGTATCATGGGGGATTCAGTCACCACAACACCAGACCGCTTTTTCCAGGTGTCACAGCTCGAATGTCCCCAGCGATTGGGATTTTCAGACCATGTGACAGCGTTTCAAGGCCCTGTGACTAATACTGAGACCGATTATGAACTAGTGTCAACTAACTAAGGTTCCCGATGTCAAGACAAAGAACTTTTTGGGCCTGGATTTCAGGAAATGGGCCACTAGCCACAAAAGCGTAGTCTGAACTTTTATTCTCACTGGACCTCTGGGAGTGGATGGCACCCCCCTCTTAACAGGGGAAATGTTGATAAAAACAGAGTAGGAGGGGGCAGGGGGGGAAAAAGCAAAGATATAGAACTAAGAGGTAGGTGGCAAGTAAAAGTTTGTTCCAGCAGCGTCTTACCTTGGCTGTTCTTCTCTCGTGTCGACATTTTGGCTAGTTATGAGACAGAAAAAAAAAATAAAAAATCACTCAAAGCAAGAATAATGTAATAATAACACAGTAATAATAAAAGTGGTAATAAACCAAAATAGGTGACATGGCAATGATATGACATATCCCAGAATGCACTGCGGGCAGCAGAAGACACCCAATCTCCATGCCCCACCTTTAGTTCTTATGAACTTATGACCTACGGCATCCTTACCAAAGCCAGGCGCGGTTACGCAAACAGTGGCATATACGGTTACAGCGCGCAAATGTGGGTGGGGGGGGGTTTGCCAGGGGCGACAGACTGGCCCCAAACCCGCAGACAGTAAATGATGCTCGGCGCCACTTTACACCTGAGCTCGTTTGAAAGATGGCAGGTGCCATTATTCAACTAGGAGGGGGGGGGGCACGTAGCCCGCGCCTCGATGGCCGGGAGGGTTGGAGACGGCGTCTTACCCTGACTGATCGTGGTGTCTTTGTGCCTGCAGGGGAGAGAGGGCATCACCGTTAGGGTCATGCAGATGAAGACATTTCACGTTGCAGGGCATGCTGGGAAGGCCCGTCCCGACTGAAGGACGATGTCTGGCCTGTGCCAGCGATTCTCCGAATTGGCGTTCCGGGAAATGCGTCACGATTTCTTTCGAGGTCGGAGAGAGCGTGTGGGACTCTTCTGTTTTTATTGTTTAATTTGTCCTCAGAGATAAGCAGCCAGGAAAGTATGCAAGCTACTCTCTCCATGCACGGACTTTATTATCACTTGTGATGTTGCCCCCTCCCAGTCCTGTGTCCCCCCACCCCGGCACTCACTTGTCAGTGTTCCTAGCCACCTTTGCCAGAAGCTTGGAGGTCGAGGCCGCCTTTACCAGCTTGTTCCTGGCGTCCTCCCCTGCGTCCCACGTGCTGCTCTGGGATCGCTCCATTCCAGGCCCCCGCTTCGTACTGTGACCCCTGCTTTGGCCCAGTGGAGGGGGGGGACATGTAGAAGGTTTTGTTAATCGGGGAAAAAAAGATGAGAGGAGACGGACAACCCAAAGCGTCAGAGAGGGTGACAGAGCGCAAAGCGGGGGGGTGATGTCACAGTGCCGACGGTCACTTTACGAAATGGGAAGAACAGGCTACTAGTGTCTCGTGGATCATTAATTATTGTCCTTCACATATCCGTGCCAGCGGAGACTGAGACGTCACTCCCCTCACCCCTATGCCCGCATTGCATCAGAGAGCGAGGCTCGCAAGCAAGGATACAACCACCACAGGGCGTACCCAAACATGGGGGGGGACACACTTCCCTGCTGTTGGTTAGTACCTCAGGGTGGGGGGGAATGGAGGAGGAGTCACCAGGCTGCAGGGGGGAAAAAAAATCAAGCCTTGCAGTTAAGCATCAATCAAAGAGGGGGGAGATGAGAGGGAAGGGAGAGATCAGCCATGTTGGGGACGAAGGAGCGAAGAACGGATCTCAGGCCTCATGCCAAGCTGCCATGGAGAGAAAGGGTTAACCGACGGGCCACTCGGACTGGATAACTTCTACACAACGCTCCCTCTGGTGACGCCCATCGGGGGCGGGGTCATAAAAGGCCACACCCCCAACCCTCGGAGGAAGAGATCCAAACACAACATCCGATTGGGCCGGAAGCCGCCAGTCACTCAAGCAGGAATTCAGTGGGGGAGAGTGGAGTAGGGACTCGAGAGAAGTGATCCAGTCCATGGCTGGGACAGTTTGGGGGGGGGGGGGATTGCATGCAGCTTCAGGTTTCTGAGAAGATGTTCACAGCCAAACGGGTTACGCACCACCCCCCAGCAAAGGAGAGGGGCGGGGGGGGGTGCGGGGACCACCATCTTCAGGATGGCCCCTGCCGACTCAGCTCCACTCCTCCCATTTCC